TCCATACTATTCATAAAGGCCTGATCTATCAGGCTCAAAAAATATATTTTAAAATTCTGTTTGTGAACATGGACTAGACAAAAACTACACACATCCTTGAAGTGCACTGCGCTCCAAAGTGATGCTGACTTTCCAATGTAATTCACAGATGCCAATTTATTTCTTCCTCCACAACCAAAGACAGGTGAAATTATTTACACAACACAGTCCCTGTGGATCAGTCGGGGTTAAGGGACTTAAGCATCACCATTTGTGGGGTTTGAAATCAGGCTGCACAAAGAATATAAGGGATCTTAACTTGCAACACTGAAACGAGACCCACAGTAGTGTGTCTAACAGGGAACTGTCTTCTGTGATTTGTGCATTGCATACAGTGATCATAAACGTGTGTGTATGAGGATATTGTGGAGAAGACATTTGTTTGAAGTGTCTATTTTTGTCATTCACAGGGAGAGATGATTGACAGAATCGAGTATAATGTGGAACACTCTGTGGACTATGTAGAGAGAGCAGTTTCTGACACCAAGAAGGCTGTCAAATACCAGAGTCAGGCACGCAAGGTAAAACACCGTCAGCTGTTACACCTGATGTCTTTCAGTATTATGCCCTTTGTGTACAATGACTCATGCTCTCAGTCTAGAAAATGCATTACTAAACCATCCACAGAAAAACTATATTGCTCCTTTGGCACTCATTGGTTCTTCAACAGATGCTGCCTGCTCCTAGATTTTTTGCTGCAGTTTTGCCGGCTTACAGCCATTGCAGATGTGGTCTAAAGACTGCAGACTCTTGGTGGTATGCCACCTACTTCTATGCTTTCTGATGAGTCAAACTGCAGAAATGGGGTGGTTTCTTTTTTACCGGCCCAAAGTTTTATTTGCTAATAGTGAACTGCTGGTGACACTTAATAGGTAGATCATTTTATCTAGTGTTAATAACTAAATTTAACAAATGAAACCTTATTGTAAACTGTTGCCAGATTAGAATTGTTGTTAATTACGGAAGCCTCTTTTCCAAAATAAAACAGGTAATTGTGACTTTTCTTGTACTTATTTCATAGTTGAGTTTATAGCTCACAATTTTGACTTTGTTTTTTCACAATTATGAGGAAAAAGTCAGAATTTGAGAGATATAAACTCAGAATCCTGATTTTCTTTCTGGCAATTCTGACGTTTTTCTCAGAATTAATTCAGTGTTTATCTCTTGCAATTCAGTTTTTTTTTCCCGCCACAGAATAAAAATTCTAAAAGTTTTATTTTACAAAAAATAGGCCCATAAAAACAAAACAAGCATTGCATGGTCCATTTACATGTCCGACAGATGGTCACCAGAAAAAAACGTGATTTTCTGTCTGCATGTCCAACCAAGCATTTACATTTAGTTTATTCTGTATGGCATAAGTCTCTTGGCCCAATATAATATTTGCAGCTTCCCTCCATGATCTCATCACATTCAGTAAATATGCACTGCTTTTTTTGGAGATTCCAGAGTTTAGTATGATGTTAGTACTGTTTTTAGCCTTTACAGCAGAGGTGTAAAGAGTACCTAAAAACCATACTTGAGTAAAAGTACAGATACCTTACAGTGAAAATTACTCCACTACACGTTACAAGTCACCAATTCCAAAACAACTTGAGTAAAAGTCTTAAGAGTATCTGATTTTAACAGTACTTAAGTATTTTACTTATACTAAATATAGGCTCAAAAAATGCACTAGTCAAAGAGACACGCTAGTTAAAAAACTGTAATGTTGTGGAGAAGCTGCAGAAAATAGGCAGAGGCAAGGATCTCTGTGCTGGTATTTCATGGAAAAACTAGAACAAACAAAATGGATAAATAAAATTATGTTAAGTAAAATTAAAAAGCCGAAGCCTTCTTACACTGGCTGTGCTGGTTTGTGCCTCATTGCCGGCTGCAGTCATGTCCTCATCTCATATATAAAACACCTGTGATTCACAAATACTTAAGGAACTCGCATTCACATAAAGTAGCCTTGTTGACAAGTTTGGGTGAGTAAGGGCAAAACGCACAAGATGCAGTACCTTCAGTGACCTGTAATAGGCAGTATCGCGTCTTTTGTAGCAGAAATAAACTGCTGCAGAAAAAGCTAGGTCCATGCAAAATGTAATGTGTAACTGCAACACTCATTACAAATGTAGTGGAGTAAAGAGTACAGATACTCATTCAAAAATGTAGTGAAGTAGAGAGTAAAAGTTGCTAATATCTTTGATACTCAGTACAACTACAAAGTATCGAAAAAGATACTCAAGTACAGTAATTACATTTACTCCAATACTTTACACCTCTGCTTTACAGTTATGCAATATCTAATCACCACCTTCTCAAATGTAGTCAATGTTTGAACACATTTAGTATTCAAAGGGGCAACGTCTCAGAGTGGTTCTTTTCATCAATAATTTAATGAACTTGTAATTCATTTAATGATTTACTTTGGTTTAATTGTTAATGGTTTCATTTAAAGTGTGGTTAAGATGAGGTGATGCTACTTAGATTAGCTGACTATCGCAACAGAGTTGCTATAGATGAGCTAATCAATGTTTACACATCTTTCTTTCTTTCCTTCTCGTCCTTTTTCGTCCTCTGCAGAAGAAGATCATGATCATCATCTGCTGTGTAATTTTGGGAGTGGTTTTGGCGTCCACTATCGGAGGAACCTTGGGCTTCTAAACGACATGAAGAGAGACAAACACTTGGAAAGCTGAGTGTTTTATCCACTTAAACACGAAATAAGGAAACTGTCATAAAACGGGGGTTGGGTAGGGTTAAAATCGAATATTAAAAAATCAAACAATCAAAAAAATAAATAAATCAAGGAGATGTTACGTACTAGCTGATTTAAATATATACAAAAGTGGGTTCAATTAAACATAATATTTACAAACTTTACATGTAAATGTATTGAACATAAAGCAGCACATGGGTTACTACCTGTAAAGGAATAACAATTAATTTTTGTTTTTATTTTATTTTTTTAGCGTTGTTTTTATTTTTGGGGGGGCCTCCAGGACAGTGCCAGCAACTGCTAAATTGTTTTATGTTCCGGCAGAACATGGTGTTTGGCAAACCATACTAGCATTACGAATACTAACCAACTGACTGCATAGATGTTATAGATAGTAGTACTAGTCCGATTGCAATGGCCTAACGTTCCAAGTGGTTGCTTGCATTCAGATGAAATCTCTCATCGTTACATTATTAGCTCATTACCGATGGAGTGCTGTAGTTTTAAAGCACCGTCAACCTACTGCGGGCAACCGTAAACAAACGAAGATTAAAAGAACTAAGAAGCACACATTTCGAATTGTGAGAGGAAGTGATATCACCAAGTTTGTACATGGAAATGGTTTTGTTTTTACTTCATTTGCTGTAGGCAGTGAAGGAACGGACATTTCATTTGAAATCGTTTAGAAAGCTACACTGGGATCGAAAGGGTGGCATTGCGCAAACTGTTGAACTATGCAGTTTTGATAGTGATTTGCCCCTGCTTTTTGAATTAATTCATGAAAACCTATGGAAAGATTCTGAAAAAGACAAAAGAGACTAAATATTTTTGTCTACGCCGAAGATTTCTTATAAGGAACATTTACGGAAATGTCAATACTTGAAGTAACGCCTAGCCTAAATATTATCTTTTGGAGGGTGGTTAGGTCTGCTGAAATTCATTTTCCTTATTTCACGTTAGTTTTGCACTTTTTTATTTGCCTTGTTTCATAAATTGCATATATATTTTACATTATAATATAAAGAATGGGCTTGAACCGGACCGTTTAGGTTTTGAAGGATCGATTTGAGAGTTTGCTTGACGTTTCACCTTGGTGCTAGTTAATAAAGAGAGACTAATAAAATTAACTACGGGGAAGTGATAGACACTCTTAGATCCTTATTCTTAAATTCGAAATATCTGAAAAAATGGGAATAGGTGCGGTGCAGACGTATCTTATGACATATTTACCTGTAGATGCATTCTTCAGTTCAACTGAAGAAACTTGTACGGTTGGTCAGGACACTTATTATGCAGCGACTAAAAATTAAGACATTTACACAACTTTATATTAAATAACTCAAATTTAGCTCTGAACGCCAAGAGAGACAGCATCTTAAGATAACTCTAGCTTAGAATAAGATTTTGTCGAAAGATTTTATTTTTCGCAGAAACACAAATCAAACAGTTGTATCATGAATTCGTTGCATCCTTTTCTTTGCAGACAGAAAGTGCCAGCATGGTTAATGATGTACTTCTTGTTTTAAATTCAAGGGCTAAAATTCAAAACCAAACTTTAGCTCTGTTTTTTTTTTTTTTTTTTATACAGAATCCCCCTTGGCTTTATTCAGATTTGTCGCATTCTTAGAACGCCCTTACCTTCATGTTCATGACATTCATGACATGTACCAACTCTGAACGTGCACTCCTTTTCTCAATACAGACTTCATTTTCCATGTACTGCTTATCATAGAATATATAACAGGAGCCCCCCCACCCCGTCCCGCCACCCCTTTACCTACCCAAAGCAAAGTAGTAGGGAACAAGAATGATTTTGGGGATAAATACTGTTCACTTTTTACAAAGCCTGAGGCAGAGGGCCGGGACTATTTTACTTTAATCATTCCAGTAACGTCCAGCATGTTTTCTTTGAAACTTCTGTGTATTTAGTGTCGAATCACTTACATGTATGGTCAAATGAGGTAAATATGTATGTCGGTGTTGTTTTTTAGTAGACGATATAGCTGGAAGGCCCTTATTTGTTAACGCATGCAACTTTCGCTTTGTTAGTTTGCATGGCTCTCGATCATGTGTGCACTTTACAATCAAAGAAAACAATGTCTTATACCGCCACATTTTTTGGGTTGTACCTTTTTCCGTTTTGTTAATGTTTTTTTTTTATGATTATTTATTATTACTCTCTAAGGGTTGGATGGGGGGGGGTGTTGGTTGACTTCATTTAATAGTTCTGCTGCCTATTTCATCATGACCCTGACAATGCTGGAGTTTTACCGTGGTCCCCATGAATGTGTTCCCTGTGGATGTGCACATGAATACAAAAATCTGTTTGTTATCGGGTATTTTGCTCCCAAACCACGTCCGTAGTGTAAAACAATGTATTCCCCCCCCCCCTCCTCGCCCTCTGGAAACACTCTGGGTACGAATCTTTTTTGTGCATCTTGTTCATTTTCCCTTCCCCTGATGTTTTCCCGAACTTGATTGTTGTGCTTAACTGGTGACGATATGTGAATTCTTTCGTAAAACTATTCTTTATTGTGAGTCGTGTGCTGCGGTGTCGAATTGTGCAACTCAAAAGGCCATGTATGCGTGCCCTGTCCCTTCGGCATTTTTGAGTGCCTCATCACTGCAGGTGAAGAAAAAACCCCTACGCCCAATCCGCACGGCGAGCGAGCGGTGATGGGACAAAGCTAGAACGCTCCCGCCATGATCAACGGAGCCGTCTGCTGCTATGTAGACTGCTTTGTGGATTGTAACGCTTGCTGCTTAGTTTCTACATGTGCTTTAGCAGCTCTCAAAGACTTTTATGTTAACCAATATGACTTCTCGGTCCACGGCTAATGAGCGCCCAAGACCTGCGATCGTGATTTTTCTCAACAGCCCCAGCCATGATCCTCCTTAATTTCATCCCCTTTTGTGTCATTCCTTTGATGTATATTCCCATTAAACTTTATACCAGTATTCTTGTTTCAGTGTTAGATTTAGAATGAGGAAACGGTTTGTGGAGATGGTGCTCAAACTGTGATTTCAGCAAAATGATCATCAATTACAGAGAATGGCCTGTAATGATGTGATGAAAACACTATTCTAATTAGAACGGGAAGATGACTGGATAAGGATGACATAATTGAAATATACCATTATCAAATGTGATGAATTATATAACTACGATGATTTAAAGAATCCCGAGAAGTTGTGTTATATTAGTAGTACTATTGAATGCTCGCGATTTTGTCAATCTGAACTGAATCTTTGTCTTGTAATTATTGTAAATATTTCAAAGAGTGAAAAAATGACTTGCATGTCCATGTATAAAACTACTAAAATAGTTCCTGTCAAAGTTGTGAGGTTGATTGATTTTCTTGTTCTTTGCCCTGGTCACAGCGCTTTGCTGTCGACCGACCTCTTGCTTGTCTTAAAGCAGCATCCTATGCTTTCAGTGATGTCAAGGGTGCTCTATAACGAAGAAAAGGAACAACGCTTTACTATCAGATTCAATACAATATGTTGTGTTACCTCAGAGAGCCATTACCGGTTACCGGAAAAAAGTGCTTCCCTCCATGTACACCATCGATAGGTTTACAGGTCAAATGCACACCATCTGTAGCTTCCAGGCACCTTGAGCGCTTTTCTTTGCAGAGGTCCACCACATTGGCAATGGCAAATTTAGAGAACAATTAGTGCCATTTTTGTGCATTTCGTGATACATGTTTGGATGCTTTCATAATCAGTGTCGGTTAGAATACCTTGTGTGTGTAGAGTGTAGCATGGCTGAAACGCAAAAGCTCTAGTTAAACGTAACGCGGGATGAGCTCTGCTCTTATACGAAGAGTGCAGTTCTTGGGATTTGGACGTTTTCTTTAAAAGTACAGTAGGAAAACAATAATGCTCGAAGCAAACAGAAAAACACTCATCTGTGCAATACAAAGAAAAGGGCTTTTTCCACACATGCATTTGAAAGCACTGAAGAACACCGACTTCAATATTATTGTGGGAGTTGAGAGAAACAACAGCCACTAACCGTGGTTCCAGCCGTCGTTTTACTTGTCGCCAAACATCTTCTCGCCCAACTAAGATCTAAGTTGAAAGTGCAATCAGGGCAGAAACCACAATGAGATGGGCACCAAGGATGGGAAGGAAGAAATTAAATCGATTTCTGCAACTTTGACTGGAATTGCAAATTCTGTCTTTTATTTTCTGTGTGTATGTGTGTACTGTATTGTAAAAAAAGGAAAAAGATACAAACAAACAACATAACTGTCCCTCTCTCCCCCCTCTCTCTTGTAATACTGTTTGCTGATCTGTTTGGTTAGTGTGGCGTACCAGTATCCCTCTCCTCCCCTAAAACCCTTTGCTATCTTCCTCCCTTCTCTTACAATCTCTCTCTCTCTCTCCCCCTCTTTTCTCCATGGATCTTTAAGATGAGAACTCTATGCAGATGCTGTCTTTTATAAGTGTGTCAAAATTTTAAGTTAAAATGAAAAATGAAAAAAGAAAAACCCCAACAAACAGATATTATGAACTGAAACAAAAAATAAAGAAAAACGATTGTCCAGTGTACAACTGCTGTAGTTGTCTTCCCTACTTTTACTCCTTTCTCAAATCATGGGCAATGGTGGGGGCATCAATAATTTGAAAAGGAAGCTCATATATGCATCAAGCACGTATACTGAGTGTTTTTTAAGCTAATTTTCACACTGCACTGCCTGGTGCATCGCCATTATGGATTTACATGTTTTTGCCAACTTTCTAGGTGAAATATAAACAGTTGGAGTTTCAAGTACTGCCTGCTGGCATTCCATCTGACATAAAAACTAAATTATAAAGAGATTTTGATCCTGGAAACTGCTCAGAACGGCCACTGTTGTAACAGCATCAGGTTTGACCCTCACCTTAATTTCGTCCCTTAATTATATACAAAATATATATATATTGTAATTTGTGAATTGTGTAAATGTCTATTTATAACAACAAAAATGACAGAAGTTCCATCTGAATCAGTTCATGAAATAAGATGTCCTCCTGATAATTGTAACTCAAATGTCATTTAGCAAACTAATTCCAAAACAAATTGTGCTAAAGATGTTTTATTCACTGTAAAGCGTTGGACACACTTTCAATTAACTATTAAGCCAGCCACATTCACCCCAGACCCCTTTGTGCAAAGTAGATAAAGTTATTTAGAAAGATAATGGGGTTTTGTTCAATTACGTTTTTATTGATTGCAGCAGAAGATGCCCTGGGAGCTGTGCAAGACCAACAAGTGCTTATCATTACTCTAAATTAATTAACTTAGTCATTGCAGTGAAAACTTGCCAAACTTGGCAGGTATGAAGGGCTGGTATTCCAGTTGCTAAGCAACAGTCTGTAAATTTTCCTTTAAAAATAATTCAGCCTCTGCGCACTGTTTGAGCTACAAACTTTGTATGTTAATCTTTTACGCCTAGATTTGGACATATTACTCTCAATTCAGACCAAACATGAATTACACATGTAGTTTCTATAGGTGTAAAAACACCCTGAATAATGCATTCCATTTTCACTCCACACCCTTTGACACTTTTCAGGCAGGTATTTTGGACCAAAAACGTTTACTTAACAGCCTCAAAACAAGTATAAGTTGTCAATTAAATTGCATGCATTCAAAGACTATGGACTTTAATGCATTGTACATGAATGGGTCTTATGTGGAAATGCCTCATTTGAAATTGAATTAAGATGCTGCAAATACTGCATTCTCTTGCTCTCAAGCAACTGAAGCGTTGCTTTGAAATTAAATGAATGAAACATGTCTAGGCTGCTAAATAGCTTAACTGGTTTCAGGGCATTTGCCAAACAGACAAGTATGCCTGAAGGTGAAAACGTACCTAAAGGATCTTTCACCATCTAGTGGACACTCCAAGACCTCCAATCAACCTTTTCACATATACACCCAGCACTTGAGAATCTGATAAATTTACATACATTGTATTTTTTCTACATTCTCAGTACTACCACAATTATGAAGTGTTGTCATCTTTCGTCTATAAGCTGTATGCCTGCATAATAATATCTTCTGATCTTTAACGTTAACTCATAAGGATAGTGTGGCTTGTGTGTTATATTCCACGTATTTGGAAGCAATCTTGATAGAGTTGTGTGGGGAAAAGACAACAGTTTATGCAGTTACTCACCGATTATATTCACTTCAGCCGATCCGATGTCGTTTCGACGTCAACGCGTAATTTCTGGACGCAAACGCGCACTTGACGCGAGCTACTGTTTGAGGGCAAAATTATCAGTAAATAACTGCTTCGTTTTAGTCGGTTCCTTAAACAAATTATTTAGGATCCAATGCTTAAATCATATTGAGTACTTTTATGAAACGTGTACGGTGCTCTTTGGTGTCATTTTGGGAGTTTGACAGTTGTCTCACAACGAACTGTTGTTATGGAAAGTAAGGAGTGAAGTCTCCTCAAAATGTTTGAAAGACATGAGGGTGAGTAAATAACATAATTTTAATTATGGAGTGAACTATTGCGTCAGGATATTCTTACATTCTCAAATGGTAAATTAATATGACCAAGGTATAGTTTATATAAACATTTTTTAATCGTTACCTTTGCAATATACGAGTTATGTGATCTGCAGCTGCTCGATAACTGAGGTAAGTTTTAGAATGGCGCGCTTTTCTTGTCGCTGATGTCACGCGTGGCAATTCCCTGGTGCGCCTGTAATGGTCGCTGTCGCTGCATTACTCATCATGATTCATGAATGCCCATATAAACACACCTGCTGATTGTTCCATTTAATGAGTTACTTACTAAATGTTCTGTTGTTACGTTTATCCTCCCTGTTTTGTTATTTATTTAATTAAAGTCTTTGTATTTCCTTTGATTTGATCTGCTCTGGTTCTGATTTTGGACTGACTGATAGCTATAAATAGTGCCATACTCTTTTGTACTATTTATATTAAACAACTGCTGTACACACGTTCAAGGACATGTAAGAGCTGTCTGCTCACAAGAATGTAGGTTCCAGTCCGTCGTAGGATATGTCCCAGTTACCCCCCACCCATGCCCACTTTCTTGTCTAAACTCCTCTATCTTAAAAATAGAGAAAAATGCCCAATAAAAACAAATTAAAAACCTGCTTAAATGTAAGAAAGGAAACTGATTAATCTTGTCTTTAATCTTAAAAATAGAGAAAAATGCCCAATAAAAACAAATTAAAAACCTGCTTAAATGTAAGAAAGGAAACTGAGTCACTATTTAGAATTTAGTTTATCAGTAAAAAAGTAAAAGTATTACATAAATATTATAGTGCATAGAAAAACGATATAATTGTGTATTTATCAAAAGTGGGAAGGTTACCTAGAATATATAAGAGATCATCTTAGTGATGAGTCTAAACAAGGAGGCAGGGTACTGTAAAACAGGAGCAAAATCATATGGTTTTAACTACAAGTAACAATAAGGAATTTGTTGTGTTCTTATTTGATTACTCAGTTAAAGGGGTCATATGATGCGATTTCAATTTTTCCTTTCTCTTTGGAGTGTTACAAGCTCTTGGTGCATAAAGAAGATCTGTAAAGTTGCAAAGACTAAAGTCTCAAATCCAAAGAGATATTCTTTATAAAAGTTAAGAGTCAGCCACGCCTGCCTAAAACGGCTCGTTCTAACACACCCCACATGTCTACGTCACGATGTGAGAAGATTTGCATAACGCCGCCCAAACGTTCACGCAAAGAAAGAAGGCGTAACTTAAAAATATTTGGCTGCACAACTGTTGATAATTCTAATAATAAATCAGCATATTAGAATGATTTCTGAAGATCA